TATCTCATTTTGGTTTTCGCGCCACTCTTCATTCCATCAAATCATGTTTCTTCTGGCCTCATACGTCGAAAAATATAAATCTATGAACTAAAACTCATATTCTAAAAATCCTTATTACGAAAGATAGATTTGAGTCCTCCTTAGGATGTTCTTATGTTCTAACAGTCATAAATAAAATTACTCGCTGGCCAGAAGCATATCCCTTTCAGAATGCAACTGCCTCTTCTATTTCAGATGCTATAGATCGTAATTACTTCCCAAGACTTTGTGACTTTTTTCGCAATTTACTTGGATCTTATCAGATTCACACATACTCCTATCAACCTCAAAGCAACTGGATTTTAGAGAGATTCCATAAATCTCTTAAAACATCCATTGTTGCCGGAGGAAGCAGCAACAGGTGGAACAACGGTTTCCCGATGATTCTATTGGGATTCAGATCTAGAATCTATTGGGATCTGGAATGTTGTTCTGCTAAACTTGTTTATGGTCACCCTCTTCGCTTACCCGGAGAATTTTTTGTTAACTCATCTCTGCAGAGTGAGCCTCTACTTATCAGTTTACGTGAAATATTTTCAAAATCCTACATCTCATCATTCGTCAAAAAACCTAGAAATTGGATTCAGGAAGCTTAAAACAGGGAAAGGTGAACGGCCATAACGGAGACCTATGTTTAGCAGTGGACGTCAACGAAATGGTAGTGATTAACGTAATTCGTATCGTAAATATAACATAATCTTTATTAATAATGGGTTGCTTCTTCCTATTGGTTACACACTTCGTTAGATTTGATGGCATTCATTGTAGCAGATAATCGATTTCCCCTTCATGTATTGTGTCATGCAACTTATAATTCGTGCTCGCGAACATGCTCGTTGAGCGAAAGATCTAATGTACTTTTAGTACTTATAATTCTTCATGATGCCCATAACCTCATTTTCAGCTGTTTTCAAATAAGAAACATCTGTACGAGGGAACTATTTCTCAAGAATACTTCGAATCGATTATGTCCTTGACGCAACTTATGTAAACGATCTAGACTGGGTTATTACAATTTGAAAATTCTTTTCAACCCCGTCTGATGGTCATCTAGGTAGATTGGCTTCCTTTTCCTTATATTATAGTGGAAATATGTTGCTTCTTCCTCACACGAGTTGCTATTATATACAATACACCCAAATCTCATATATGTCTTTTAATATGATTGTTATAAGTCGAGGTCTAGCAAATTTGGTAGAGAGTAAGTTTAGGAATAATGGAGATATGATGGGTGTAAAGAGGAGATACTATCTCTTTCGATTAGTCCATAGAATGTTTTGCAATATTGGGATGGACATTATTTCTACTTATTATTCATTGCTTCAGTTACCGTATCGCCTGAAATGGTAAAAATCGCATGATCTGTTCAAATCAGATTTTGTCCAGTATTAAAGACGCAGTTTTTCAGTTAGGTAACGAGTATGTTCACAAAATTAGTGCTATCAAAGCTATTTCTGATTATATGTAAGAGAATCGATAACAGTAAATATTTTTGCATTCAACTTGATGACAATACTGATATAGCAGAATTAATAGTTAGTGTAAGGTATTTGAAAGAAAATGAGGAACTTTAGCTTTATCTTTGTATTGAACGGACAACAGGTGCAAATATTTTTCATGCCATTGATTCTTACTTTAGTAAGAAAGGGAATACAGTGGTCGCAGTGCTGTGGTTTAAGTACTGACGGTGGCAAGTCTGTCAGGTTATTACTCTGGTCTCCTAGGATGTATCGAAGTAATAGCTCCCTACTTTACCAAGGAAGCTAGTTTTGACGCGAACTATCATACATATTTTGCACTATTAGTATACATTATTAAGCTACACTATTTTTGAATAACAGATAAAAATAAAAATGTCTGCTGTGTTATAACGTTATTACTGTATCTGTATATAGATGTTAATAATTATACGTGGTGGAGGTGGAGTATGTGAAGCAGTGATATTTAAGCAATGTTGGTATAAGTCTTGGAAATCTTGGCTTACTTTGATTTTGAACTTGATTTCGAGACCGTCATGCAGTCTAAAAAATTTGCTTTGGTTATATTGAATGATCAATTGCTTTGATTGGATGGCTTTCTGGCTTAGCGACCCCACAGCTGTATCCTGTAAGTCTAGTTATGCTTAATAATCTAATAAACTAGTCTCTTTGATCGCAGTTTGGGAGCATCTACCCAACTCCGACTATGTACTGGTTAGTATATTTATCTACTTTTGAGTCTAATCTACTCAACTTTCTATACCACATGACCCTTCTAGTTCATTTTGCATTCAAGGTGGAAACCGAAATACTTTGTTGATTCTGCTTAAAGGATACGGCATCCTCCAAAAGACACAGTTAGGTTGCTGTTTATTCGTCGCAACGCAAAATTGATGTGAATCAATTTCAAGTAGTTAATTTTGTTAACTGCTATTTTGTTTCCTGAAATTTTCGCACAGTTTTCGTTTGAATTAAGTTTTTACCCATAATAATAATAACTATGTCATCAGCGAACGTCCTTAATACAGCATCTTTTGAAACTGGAATATCTGCTATACAATAGATAGAGGAGTGATCATAAAATCCTACCTTATAGACTTGTGACACTCTAAACTCTTTCTTTCAGAAAGATGTGATTCAAGTAGTTCTGCGGCATCTTTTCGCCCAACTTGTAGAAGACATTCTCTGGTGCTAAATCCAGTAAAATCTCTAGTATGTTAATGAATAGTTTATGACGTTTTAACAGTAATTTTTTAAACAATTTGAAAATTGATATCAGGTAACAGCAAAATAGGTCTTATCATTCAACTTTTTCCACCAGTTTATCAGGTTTTTTGAGCATAATTATTTGTGCCGTCTTAAAACATGCTTTAGTCTCAAGCAAGCGTTAAACCAGTATTTCAACATGATTACTTTTCTTGGAGGTATAAGCCAAGTGAAATTTTATCAATTCCAGCAGCTTTTTTAGGGTTTATGTTATCGATTTCCAGGGTTACAAGTTTGGTCAAAAAATGTGTACCTCTTGGTCCCAACGATTTTCATGTCACTATAGTTAACCCAGACATATTAGTTAATATTAGTTAACCACTATTTTTACAATGAGATTAATCAAAGGATAGTTTATACTAACATTAGAATAGTTGTGTTAAGTTTTATTTTATTATGGGCTTGTCGTTTTAAGGTGTTTATACATACAGTTAAAGAAACCTCTAGAAATGTCTAATTAACCAATAAATGGGTAGTCAGAGTTGGAAAACGAAGATTCCAGACTTGATATAATTGCAAATGTTATGTCTGTAATGGAATCCCCCTATCCAATTAGCATATCTTAAATTTTGTATAATTTTAGCTACTCATTTACAAAAAAATTATATGACTTGTTCCATTCTGTATAAATCGCCGCTGCCAAACCAAAACGGCATAAACGATATTTACTTGATTTTGCAGGAAACACAAAATACTTTCATCACGTCGTATTGAAATAGGCATCTGCGCCAACTTTTAACCAATGTTGGCGGTTGAAGTTTGTTTTCAAATTTGCTGTTTTGGCTTGGTAGAGTCGATATAGCTATATAGAAAGTGACCATTTGGCATAATATTTTATACAATTCAAATATTTATCATAAATTTATTTGTCTTCAATTCATATCTTATAATAATTTATAACACTTAACAGATTCGCGTCATAACTCGAAAGTTACTAGTTTAGTTTTATTTCCAAGTTAACAGACTATCTGTCTTCTACAGTTCAAAGTCTTGACTGGAATGCTGATCTCCAGTTTTCGTACCACATGTTTGGGGGACGTTTAGAAGTTCTGGTCATATGTGATTTTTGTTTGCCCTGCGCCCTATATTTTTCCTGTTTTCGCTTCTTATGTGGCCTAGTAAAAAATAGCCAGCAATTGCTCGAAGACTTTCTAGTATCTCTGTGGGTCTGAGAAGCCTTTAGGTTGATGTGTTATACATTTCGTTAGTATTTTGCTCCTCTTGTGGTTTTTGTTCTGACTTCTTCGTTCAGTTCTCTATGCTTGCAATGTTTCAAAGATGTTTCAACCGCATAATCTGGCCTAGCGTATAATTGTAAACCACTAGTTTACACCTTTTTGGGTCTTTCGGAATTATTGGGACTGCGTTTTCTGTACTGAGATTTTTGTATTACACTTCTCTGCCATTTTCTCGATTTTAAACAGCTTCTTTGGAGGCTATCTTAGTCTTGAGGTATTAAGATTGCATCGTCTGCTTAGCATCCGATTATTATATACTTCTCGCTCAATCTGTACTCCGTTCCACCAGGCAGCGTTTCTTCAATTATTTCGTCGGGCTACTCAGGCCACCTCGTAGGCAGAACTGGTAGCAAACTCAAAACTACAAAATGCTGTTGTAAAGTTTGAAATACTAACCAAGACTTATATTACTTATTATAGTCCAAATACTGAAGCCCAACTGGTTTAAGTCAGGATATCTTTTGGCTATGCAAAAGTATTCTGTCACCCTATCCATCTCCTTTGATACGATAGAGCATCATCTTGCATAAACCAGAGATTCTGTATCAGATTTTGAAATAAATTATCTTAAACATCAGATGATCCTAGACCTAAACCTCAGAACATTGCAATGTATGATGTATCTTTGAACTACTTATGGAGAAGATGCAAGAACATCATGAGATAGTAGAGAGATAATGCCGGTTCTGGACCGATGTCCTGACGTCACTTCCGGCGCGCATGCGCAGGATCAGGGGGAGCGAGGGAGCACTTCTGGTCCAGAATCGGCATTATCTCTCTACTATCTCATGACATTTGTGAAATAACTATGGTATTATTTCCGATACGGTGTTTCATCTGAAGATGATTTTTTATTCGAAACCGGTAAATTTGTAGTCAAATCTTAAAACTTTAATACTATTTTTTTATGATATAACTTTTAATTGTATAATTTTTTGTAAACCATTTTTGTGTACACATTTTTTTTCTTTCTTTTCAGATATACCAGATATACCCGAATCAATAGGTGCTCTAAGTTCACTTCAAGTCGCCGATTTTAGTTCGAATCCAATACCAAAACTGCCGCCAGCTTTCAGCAAGTTAAAGTCATTAACCGTGTTAGGTTTGAATGATATGTCCCTGACATCTTTGCCTGCCGATTTCGGACATCTCACCTCGTTAACTTCTCTAGAATTGCGAGAGAATTTACTGAAAGAGCTACCCGCATCGCTTGCTCAACTAACAAAACTCGAACGCCTCGATTTAGGTGATAATGAAATCGAGGAATTACCGACCCATATCGGACAATTACCGGCTTTACAAGAATTGTGGTTAGATCATAATCAATTACAACGATTACCGGGTGAAATTGGTAATTTAAGAAATTTGAGTTGTTTAGATTTGTCGGAAAATAGGCTGGAATCTTTGCCCGAAGAAATCGCCGGGTTAGAGAGTTTAACAGATTTGCATTTATCACAAAATGTTTTGGAAACACTTCCGGATGGGATCGGAAAATTGGATAAATTAACGATTTTAAAAGTCGATCAAAATCGCTTAGCCATTCTCAATTCGAACATCGGTTATTGTTCGAGTCTTCAGGAATTGATTTTAACTGAAAATTTTTTAAACGAATTACCTAGAGAAGTTGGAAAACTAATTAAATTAACGAATTTAAACGTCGATAGAAATAGTTTAAGTTCGATACCGGAGGAATTGGGAAATTTAAGGGAATTGGGCGTTTTGAGTATGCGCGATAACAAACTGACTTTACTTCCGGATACGTTGGGAAATTGCGAAAGGCTACACGTTTTGGATGTATCCGGAAATCGACTGCCCTATCTCCCCGTTTCTTTACTCCAGTTGCAATTGAAAGCGGTTTGGTTGAGTGAAAATCAAGCGCAACCTATGTTAACGTTTCAAACCGATACCGATCCGGATACAGGAAATACAGTTTTGACTTGTTTTTTATTACCTCAACAGCAATATCAACCAACTATAGGTAAGTGATTTATTTATTTTTTTAATTTTAATGATTAAAAACCACGTTTTTGATTTTATTTAAATATACGATTAGCAATTATTAAGGAAAATTCTTGTATAGAGGAATTGTGACGCATATAGATCGATTTACAGGATTCCCGCTTATCTAAATCAGGCATTAATCTCAGAATTCGCTTTTGCGCAGTAAACAAGTGACACCAATCCACTCCTCTGTCCCAGTTTAGAATGATATATGCCATATGTGAATACTACGTAATAAGCTTTTAATAATTTATCAATCTGTAACCAAGGCTGTAATCAATCTTTGTTCAAATTAAGTTTTTCCTTAAACTAATTACACACACCGTCTTGTTAACATTTAATTAATGGCAATCATTAAAATATGGCCCATTTTTCATCTCACTAACGCATATAAATTATCTACATCATCGCTGAAATTATAGTTGAAGTATCGTTTGCGTTTAATGAATAAATACTACAACAGATGTCATATCCTAAAAACTATGACATATTGGTCAAAAGAGCAAAAAATTTGTTGCCCTATATACTTCTAAACGGAAATCAAGTACTTCCTACACATGATTAAGCATATCTGGTGAAGTAAAAGTCTAGTGGTGAAACTCACGAACAATGTTACCATAACGTCATATCATACTTCGAAAACTTGGAGAGTTTTCCTTTTATTTGGTAAAAATTTCACATTTCTATCTTGCTTTGTTGCTCTCCTGTGACCGGTTAAAAGTGCACCATAACTTTACAGACACATTGTATATCTCAGTTGAAACTTTTTATTAAAAAGTTTCTGTTATAAACTGGCCATTTTATTTGTTTTCGGATTTGGATGTATTATCATGGATCATCTAATTCAGGCTTCATTTTAAGATTCTTCTTCCGATTCTGAACTTAGAGATGAAATTCAGGAAACACTGTCTAAAGTATCTAAGTTGAAATCCTCCCATTCATTGTCGCATTCCGTTATAAAGGCGTCTTGATTTTCAGAATTCGCACAGTTAGAGTTGGTGGAATGCGAGACAAATACCTCGCGCAAGTACCACTTTTTCAGAACTATGACAATTTTTTTCTTTAAATATATAGTTTGTTGGAATTTTTATTTATCTCTTGCAAAATTGTTGCTATGATGTTTTCTATCACTGCCGATTGTTACGGTCATAATTACCATTATTTTTAGAACAGACAGAAACTCTTCATGAAAGAGAGCTATACGTGTACAAGTTTTTATGGTTTCGATGTCAGTAAAATATGCTTGGGAATCAAATTGAATACACAACTGTTGAAAGATTCAGTTTTATTCTACCTATTTTTTCCCATGCATCTCTTCAAAAGATCATTGGTTGACAATTTCCCATTATTACGACCTATAAGATCTATTGTAACTTTAGCCCTTCAAAGGTTTAGGGTAAATGTAGGTCCTTGATGAACCTTAGTATTGCCCTGAGGTCTTGAACCTTTATGTCGGTAGGTGTCAAGAGGTGGTATTTTAGGGGCGCATGGCTGGTCAGGTAACCTGAGAGCGTCCTTAGATCCCTTTTGCTGAGGCATAAAACCTCTTTGGTTTCACCATAGGCTAACATCATTGCCCCTAGCGAATTCTCTCAGGTAGCTGGTACACTCTCTGTGCTGAGTGCTGAGTCACACGTGTAGGCCTGAATTGCCTTTAAGGCGGCCCGCCTGTCTGTGAAAATGTTTATGGATGCACCTTTCTGTCCCTTCTGTAGGTTCAAAGCGGTGCAGAGTTATAGCAGTTAATGCAGTTTATAGCAAGAACTTCTGCTTGGAAAATTGTTATGTCCGGGCTGAGTGGCAGTTTAATGTGGCTGTTTGGTCCACTGACGCCCATACCTACTCCGGATCTAACTGTCTTTGAAGCATCGGTGTACCAGGCTCTTTTTAGCCTCTTTTTAGTCCAATCATTCCTGCTTCTAAATATAACCTTATACGGCTGGTTGTAATTGTATTCTGTCGGTATAAGGTTCGTTTTAATTTCAATCAGGTGATTTAGACATGGGTCTTTGAGGATTTCGAGGTGTCCTCTGAGGTTGCTCTGCATCAACTTGAGTAAAGAAACTATTTTCAGTAATAAGGCACTTGAAGCTGCCCCCTCTTGTATATATAAATGGAGCGGTGTGAGACCGAGTAGGGCTTCCAAAGCAGTCGTCGGACAGGATCTCATTGCACCCGTTATGTTAAGACATGCTAACCGCTGGATTTGTGCCAGCTGTTGTTGTACTGTCTTGTTTTGTTTTTGGCCACTAAATCAATGAGGCGTAGGCGACCATGGGTCTGATTATTGCTACGTAGGCCCAATGAGCCATTCGTGATTTTGAGACCCCAGTTCCTTCATAGGAACCAGCGGCAGATTTGGTTTGCCATGATGGCCTATTTCCTCACCTTATCTAGGTATTTAATTTCTGTTTTGAGGTTAATAGTTCTGCTATCAATGCAAGGTGCTTTTATTTGTAGCTTCCTTTTCCGAGTGCTTCTACACCAAGTACTGGTGAGTAGTAGGACTTTCTGCATTAGTTGAGTTATGATTGTATCATATTTACGTCGGATTGTGATTAACAGGTCATCAGCATACCCCTGAATCTTGAATCCGTTTTTTTGTTAGAGTGTTCATCAAGTCATCAACTAGCAGGCACCATAATAGAGGTGATAGCACTCCCCCTTGGGGACATCCTTTTAGCGCCTTTATAGTCAGCGACTCGCCTCCCTGACTTCTCTATGGATTTATAGGAGGTGTTATCAAACGCACCCTCTTTGTCTATGATAGCACATAGGGCTATCTCTTTGGTTGCAATTGCCTCCTCTAAAGTGGCATGGAGAGCAGTAATTGTTGATTTTGCTTTTTGATAAGCATGTTGGCTAGGGTGGAGTGGATTAGTGACCATAAACACAATTTCCCATAAATCGGTTTTAAAAAGTTAATCGTATCTTCGTCGAAGGTCTTTGAGTTTTCAAGTGTTTTCTTCGCTTTCAAATTACAATTTAAGATGATCACACCAAAAATCATCACACATTTGATGATTTTTCATCGAAAGCTCTCTTTGTTTTTAAGAGAATCAGAATTATTTCAAATTGCTAAACCATCATACCTTAACATTTTATCTATCACTTTATTCCATCACTTTTTGATGTAGATTGTTTTGGTGGAATACTTTGACCTTCTACTTCTTCGGCTATTCTCTTTCTTATCATTTTGAATTTGCTTTTTATCTATCAAGGACTGAGTGAGCATTTTTACAGTTTGTTTTTTTTCTCAACCGTAAATGGCAAGGATCTTTATCTACTAAATTTTACAAAGTTTTTGAATCGCCATCGCTGATATGCATTGCATATTTTAATCACGTTATAGCTCGATTGAACATATCAAGGATTTCATGTACTTCGATTCTGTCGTGATTGAGACGACATTCATCCTTGTGATCCAACTACTGCACTCAACAGTTTCTTGATTTGACCACTACATCTACCAGTTTCTTTGAGAATTCTCCTATTAAAGTGCAGAAAATCTTCGTTTTGATAATAAAGTGTTCGTTCTAAGGATTCTCATTTTCAAGATTTTTATGGCCGATATGTCTGAAAGAGTGTTGGAAAGTTGGGTTCAAAGAATAGTTCGCTATAATTTTGCTGGTGGTAGTCGTATGAACGATATCGTAATCATGCGTAATTGTAATCATTTCAGAATAAGTATTTTGCTTCTCACATGATGCAACAAATCTGGTGAACGTGCCATGGAATGTCATCTTGGAGTGAGATCAATCTGCAAATAATCTTCTTAGCTGGACTATAGACGTACGTGAAGTGTCCCATCCTGCTGAAACCAAATCTTCCTTAGAGGAATTTTGTGACCATTCTCAAAAAAAAAGGATCCTATCACATCTGCATTACAGACTTCATTCCAGCACCTTTGCTGCGTTTGCACTGTAAAGAGGTCGCTCATACAATTTTTGTATGTGGCCCAATAATGGATATTTTATTGGTTAACGAAGCCGTGAAAGTGGGAGTAAACAAAAAAAAATCGTTCCAGGATCTTCATTTATCATCCATAACTGATTTTTTTTGTAAAAACTATTTGCGAAATCTTGCCGCTATAATTCTTGAACTACAGCAATTTTGTACTGGTGAAAATTTAAGTTCTCATGAAGAATTCGCCAAACAATGCTATCGAATATGCATAAAACCTGAGCATGACGAATAGTTGATCGTTCGATCCATTCAAAAGTTACTCGTACAGCCTCGAGGTTTGCAGATGATCTTGCCGTCTGCAACTTCTGCGTAGGTCATATAGATTATATGGGTTAACTTCATCTGTAACCTCATAGCTTGGATTAAGTTGGTCCTTGAGGATATTTTTATACCAAAACAAGAGTGTCAATCGTACTCTTTGCCGGTTTTTTAAAAAAAGTTTCAACCAGAAAGTTATTATCAAAAGACCAAATTTCTGTTTGCACTATTTTTTTTCATGAAAATTAGTTCGGTTAACAATATGTTTAAGCATAGAGAGAGAAGACGATATCAGAGCCCTGTTTGGAAACTATGGAATATTATGCGAATATTACTTGGTCTCATAAAACCAAGCGTATGATGTAAATGGGTTAAAGAAGGTTGCATTTGCAAAAAATATCATGCTATAGATCTTTAAGTCAAAACCTCGTTAACTCAAAAGCTCTATCACGTTTTTGGGGCTTATGTTAATCATTTTTAGTTTATTTTTAGAAAATTCTTTCCGCCGCTTCTTTTCGCAGATCGTGGTTAAGGAACATGTGGTTCAAAATTTATCTCATGTCTCAAAATCTCATGCAACATTGTTGCTATGATGTGTTATGCCACTGCCGATTGTTACGCCCATAATTACCATTATTTTTAGAACAGACAGAAACCCTTCAAGAAAAAGAGCTATGTGTGTAGATCTGACAACTGGTTATATATGAGAATATTTTCTCAATTTTTCGGACAATTCCACTATTCCGCACTCTCCTTAGTCTCCAATAGATCTTAGACTTCTGTTATATTCTGCCAATAGCCTTTGGACAACATTTTTATTCTGATCTAATTATTCCAAATATTTTATAAAATGAAGATTCTAGATGCGTAAATAAGCCATATAATATGCCTCCTTTGTTATGAAATTCTCTGTTCTCCCCATGTTTCAACATTTGTCTGTTCATTGCCATCTTCCTGGCTACTGATCCTAACTGATCTATTAATGCTGGAGTTGCTTTTTTACTTATTCTTTTCTCTCAAATCTGTTTCTCCTTGGCCTTCCTTCTCCGATAACTATACCCAAACATATCCGTAGCGTCCCTGTCCACCTCGTCCCCTAATTTTACTCTTTGCTTTTTCCTAGGTCTCGCTCCGTGCATCTTATATTAAGCAGTTGCTTCGGTATCATCCATCATTTTAACCACCCATTGCAATCTATGAAACTTGATGTACTTCGAGAGCATTGGCTCCTTATAGTAGCTATATAGTTATATCTTGTTCCCCATATATTATTCTCATATATTGGGTCTACAATACTTCTCAGAAGTCAGTCTTACGACACACTTACGACAGTCTTACGAAGACGTTTATGCTATTAGTTAGTTTCTTGGTTAGCGTCAAGGTCTCACAGCCATATGTCATTAACCCTTTGTGTCCCGACGGTACTTTAAAGTACCGGTAGTTTTAAACACTCATTTTAAACTGTAGTCATCTATTCGACGCATATAGAGCTCTCGGTACTTTCTACTATACAAGAAAGAACTTATATAAAAAATGACGCAATCCACACTGTAGGGTTTTAGGTACATTTAAACTTATTCATCCAGATGTGAGGTTAGAAGTTTAGTGAAAAGTGGTGTTGCTGAATTTTGTTGTTCAAAAGGTATATCTTTGATAAATGGTTATTAGATGTGATTTTATACGTAAAGGTACCAGCAGGATAATAACAGGTACAATATTGAGATTGATGTAAAAATGAGCCAAGCGAATAAAGATACGTTTTAGTACTTGAATAAATCTTTGACAGATGAAGAGCTTGAAAAGTTTGTGTTGAATTAGAAAATCTTCCGTTGCATAATTCTGAACACACAGGCATAGAAAATGAAGAAGATGACATTGTTCTTACTACTTTGCTAGTGAAGTACCTATGCTAGAAGATGAAGAAGTAGAACAACTAACTAATCAAAATGAGGAAAGTGACGCTGAAGTAGTAGAAATACATGGCAAAGGGCCCAAGAAGAAGAACAAGGCAGAGATTGATAGAAAATGGAGAAAGCGGAAAAAACAGACTGAAATTCGAGGATACGATTATCCAGAGGGAATAATTGGTGATACTTTTGCAACTTGCAATAATCCTACAGATTATTTTCTAACACTGATGGGTAACTGTGTGAAAGATATTACCTTTTAAACGCTAAAGTTGAAAGAAGAAGAGTTACTATGTTTCCTTGGCATAAATTTCTTAATGATTTATCACAGTTTGCCAAGCTATAAACTCTTCTGGAGTAATGCTAAAGACTTAGGTGTACCACATCCCAGTAAACAAATTTGCATTTTAGAAATATTTCTGATATATATTATTGAAACATGAAATGTTTCTTCGACATATTTCTGAAACATAGTTGAAACGTGTCTGAAACTGCTAATGTCCGGCCCTTTTTATGTTTCATTGAAACGTTTCTGCAACATACAGGTGACAATCACGGTACATTTCTGAAATGTAAATACGTTTACGAATCTACGAAAATGTCGCCTAGAGATATTCAGCTTTAATTTTTTTCTTTTCATCTTATCTCACATCTCCCGAACAGAAAAGTGTATAATTTTATATGTTTGCAGGAGAAAAACAGCCAAATTTTCTAAAAATTTATAAAACAATCCAATCCCATGAAAGCCATAAAAAGGGGTTATAAGCTCTGGTGCTTAGCAGATAAGAAAGGGTACATAAAGAAATTTGATGTGTATCAGGGAAAATCTTCTGAAATTGAAGAAAAATTTGTCCTTCAACTTACTGATCTTTTGGAGAAACTAATAATTGAGAAAAACTTAGCTTGTGAAACAACAAAGTCTACAAAAAAGGTGCACAAAAAAATGTTGTAGATGATAAACGAATGAAAAGAGGAGATTATGATTACCGGATATCAAATTTAGATATAAGTTATTACAAATGGAAGGACAGTAAGTGGGTGAAATTTTGCTCTAATTTTCATGGAACAGAAGACACCACAGTAAAAAGCAAGCAAAAGAATGGAACGAAAATTGATGTGCGCTGTCCTTCAGTCGTTGATGATTACAATAAAAACATGGGTTCGGTAGATCATGCCAATCAACTTCGTCAACTTGCTAAGACTTGGTAACCATGGATTAGTTTTGGAAAAGAAAGAGGAAGTTGTGAAAATTCTTCTGCCGAAGCTATTTAGTCCAGACCCCACTCAAAATGTATTGCGTGCAAAGTTTATTGATGTTGTAATGAAAAAAACAACTGCTTTTCTGAATATAATGATGTGATTTAGCTAAAGCAAGTGTTACTTATTTTCTAACGTAATCAAAAATTGCAACATCACCAAAATATATTTTAATGCCTGACGGTACTCTCAAGTACCATTATGGACTGGGGAGATTGTCATATTTTGCTAAAATTGATTCCAATTAATACTGTCACAAAGTTTCAAAATTTTTGACGTCTTGGGATACTAAGGGTTAAAGGCCTTAAAATTGTTTAATAAGTCCCCGGAACTTTGTGTTCCTATTTATATCCTTAGATTTGATTATATGGGCTATTGCCTAGTAAGTTTTGTTGGCTAACTTGGCTATCCTTCGCAACCTTTATTCCAAAATATACAAATTGCGAGACTATCGCTATGTCATTCAGGATTGTACCTGACCTAGTCTGCATCATTATTTTCGTTTTCTTTATATTTGTTCTCAGCCCCACCGGCTTCACCAACTCCAGTGCTAAATTAAACTACTTTGATGCCAGTACATCCCCTTATTTTAGTCCGCCAACTTCTCTATTCGTTCGATTTTTGCTTTTCTACGAAATATATCAATCTTATTCCGAATAATAGAACTTCATCACCGTTTTTTTTTATTTTCCAATGCACTCTTCATCCTATTTCTCTTCCCGATGGATGTCATCTCTGTGTATGCAAAAACGATTTATAAATTCTTTGGTACACAACCTAATCGTGCTAATATCTGTGATGATTATTTTGCCAAGGAGGCCAATAAAATTGTTCTCGTGAAGATTCTGAGATTGTAGTCTACCAATTCTTTAAGGAGGCTGTTCCAGAAGTTGTACACTGTAACGAAGTTGTTGACCGGGCGATGAACCTACCGATGGTTTTGTGTGGAGTATAAAGTGATGCCAAAAAAAATAATCTGGTGTCCATGATAACTCCAAGATATTACTTGCTCGAATATTAGGAAAGTTTTAAAGATGGCTGCCGCATAGCTCAGTTTTCGTTATCATGTTGTTGAAAATAATATCGCCATATTCTTTGTGGAATGGATTATGATCCTCTTTTTGCAATACCAAGAGGTTAACAGGTCCAGATATCGTTAAAGTCTTCTTTTAACCATTATTAAGTAATTAGATTTGATGCCAGCTTCATGCATCTTGAAGATGATCGTCAAACGATTCCTTGTAGAACGATTTGGATACATCAAGAAACGGTGTAATGGATTTAGACGAATGCTTTGTAAGTTAACCTTTTCTGCTGCTCGTTCCTTGAGTGCCATTCCATGTAGATGGGAAAATGCGAACTCGCAACTGGTTCTTTCGCTCTCTCTGTTACGTCATCTCTTTTCATTACCACCCCGTTTTCTTTGAGTTATTTCGTCTCTGCACACTTTCATGCAAGTGATTAATACAGGTGATCTGAATTTTGAAGCTACGCATTATATTATCAGTGGATAAAACTATTTGGGCGTTTCTCTCGGTCACTGCTCGACTTCTGGGAGTTATTATTTTTCTGTCATTATAAGTCACTCTGATCTTTTTATGCACGATGAACGACTTGTTACCTCGTGTAATAACCTCGTGTAATAAACCTGTGTAAGACATTTTTAAAGTTGTAGCAAATCCTCAAAGAACTAGTTGCCACCGAAGCAAAGTCTTTTAGTTTTTTTAACAAAACCCATCGTATATCAATTCGTGTTTGATCGGCGAGGTGGCAGGATCTCCACAGGAAGTCTAAGGGCCGTACACGAGTTTGACTCTTGTTGCTGAGAGGTCATCGCGCCACACTATTATCCTCAGCGGGGGATATGTTAGGCAGTATGCCATAATATTTCACTGCCAATTTTCTAAAACTAGTAACAATTTTATTTTTTTAAATATGCGTGGTTTTTAATCAAAAAAAAAATTAGATGTTGCTTTGTTATGTTTCGCGTTGCATGTCTACCACTTTTCCCCTTTGTTTTTTTTTATTTTTTTTATGTTCGTCTTTTTCTTTTCTATGTTACCCGTTTTTGTGCGCCTCTAGCCTCTTTAGATGGTCGTTTGTATCGTTGTGATGTTACCCCGATTTTGTCTAACGGGGGAATTGCTCCATCCCCAGATGACACCCGCGATGAAGATAGCGATTGGGAGGAAAAGGAGGCGAGTAGAACGCATTCGGTCAAGTTCAGCGATCCCCAAGATCAGGATAACAGAGAGGTAAGAGAAGTGTTAATATCCAATTTAAGTTCATAAAAATAATAATCTTAATGGTTTATGCTGGTTGCTTAATTATTACTTTTGCGATTTATCTCGGTGGTAATTCATCAGGTAAAAGCTATTAACCCGATTTTAAGGCACGATTTAAACTTAAATTAGTAAAAAAACCAAGTTGTCGAGATCAAGAAAAAGAACGAAAAGAAGACGGATTTATAGAGCCGGTATTAAGCTCTAGTTGTAGGACTTTCACAGGAAAATTAACCGCTTGTCCATCCTTACCTCTTAATAGTTAGTTAGCGGTAGATTCCGTTATGACCGATATACAGGGCGTTCCATAGAAAAAAGATTACACAGGAATGATTAAAAATGATACCGTTAAATCAATTAATAATTAAATTTCGAAATACTTTTTAAAATAAATGATAAATCGAGTAAAAGTCATCGTTTTATAACAGGACGTACAAATTACGATAGATTACTTTCGACATAATAATATTATTGAGGCGAACGAAACAGGACGTTATTTTAGTTCGCTTTCACGCGGTTCACACACGCATATTTTCGCGTACGTAACAGATTATGTACGCGTAGTAGTTATCTGTCGAGCGGATGGGTGAGCGAACATTGTCGCGTTCGGAATATTAAATCGACGAATGATTGTTTCAAAATCTGTGTATTCAAAGTTAATTTGAAGTAATGTTTTATTATTAATAAATTTTTTGCACGCGATAAGATTAAAGGTATTAAAAATGTAAATGACATTTTATTTATTTTTTGATTAAATATTTCGTTATTATATGATAACGTTTGGAAATGGTACCATCTTAAACTATCTTAGATGTTTATTTTGAAATGTCATAAGCTCTATAGTAATTTTAAAATATACTGGGTGTTTCAGAATTGTACGGTAATTTTTTATTATTTATCATGGGAAACCACAAATTTATTCACTTTTCCAGAACAAACAGACATGTTAATTTGTAGCGAGGTACATAAAAATGGAGCTGCTACTGGTCAAAGGTACCATGACAATTTTTCCACTAGAAATAGGTATACTAAATCGTAAAACGTTTGAAGCCATTGAAAACGTCTTAGGGAAACTGGCACGCTAAAACCTACAGGAATAAACGTTAATCGGCAAAGGTTTCGACGAACAGCTAACGTTGAAGAATTGATACTCGATGCTGTTCAGTCATCTCCTACTTCTAGCACCAGAAGATTGTCACTTCGTTTCGAGTACAAGCATATGGCGAACATTGTGTGAGCAACAGTTGTATCCATATCACGTTACACATTTGCAAGATTTATTACCAGAAGACTATAATAATCGCAGAAATTTCTGCCAGTGGTTAATTCGACAATATACACGAAACTCTAACTTGCTGAGCTGCCTCCTATACTGACGAATCTGGTTTTACCAGAAATGGGATTATTAATTTTCGAAACACCCATACTTGGCACGAGAAAACCCTCATGTCTGGTTTAGTCTTCTTGGTGACAATCTTATCGGCCCTTTCTTTTTACCACCCAGGCATTCCGGAATATCTTACTTGAATTTTTTGCAAAATAATTTGTATGAGCTCCTAGAAGACATTCTGATTGCCCATAGGCAGGGGAATGTGGTTATGACCAATTTTCTCATCTTGCCACTGATTATTTAAACAGAGCATATGGTAACCGATGGATTGGTCGAAACGGACCTGTGAAATGGCCACCAGGGTCTCCTGATCTAACACTGTTAGATTATTTTGTGTGGGTCTGGATGAAATCTATGGTTTATTCTACGTCTATCGGCACCCAAAAGAGAGCTCAGAAATCGCATCATGGAAGCCGCAGTAATTATCAATGGCCGTCCTGATGCCATAAGACTTGCCAGAATTCAACAAAACGGTTCAACCATTTTAAACATTTACCCTGATCACTTCATTGACAAGTGAACATTTTTTATTTTCAATATATCGGTAATAAATTAATTTGAGATTTATGTTTATATGAACTTTTTTGTTTATTTTCTGCTGAAGAATACATCCCTAAAATAGTGCCGTGCAATTCTAAAACACACTATATATTTTGATATGTGTACAATAAATATTGACGATGCTAAAGATTAAATATTTCAAATTTGTTTGAAGTGATAAAAGAGATTAAATAAATATATTAAATAAATAAATTATATTACACTTTCATGCTGTGCAAACTCCACACTTTGATAGTAACCTAAATAGTTTCCTATGATACCAAAATTATTTACTGAGCTTCATTTTGGATTCTGAACTTTACCCAATCCAAAGTATTCAGTTGAATGGTGCAAAGTTTACTTTTTTGACAGGAGTCCATCGGAATCATATCTGCTAATCTTGATAGATATTCAATTAACCTTCTTTTTCTCATCATCCCTCAATTGGGATATCTTCGTCTTCTTTTTCCCGCTTAGGCTTGGAGACTGTTCTTCATCGATGATGCCTCTATTCTGTGTATATCTTTTTCTTGGTCGACCTTGACTACGTTTGCCTAGCGGCCATTTATCCCTGGCCTTTCTTACTATTCTATCTTCTTTCATTCTGTGTCCAATTGTTAATATTTCCATTTTACATTTCTCTCCCATGGCGCTACAACCCGAATTTGAGTCTTAGCCTCCTTCAAACTTGATCTCTATATAACTTGCTGCTCGTCTCCACATTCGCAACCCCAATAGGTCCTTGGCATCCTCCGTCCTCCATCCATCTCCTTAGTCTGTCCGTTCTCCTGTTTCCTTGCAGTTTTTCATTAAGGGGTGTTTTTGAGATCCTGTCATCACAACGTGCCCTGCTCATCGAAATCGTTGGAACCTTACATACTGCTATAGTAGGGACCTCTTTAACAGGTTTCTCCATTCTTGCCTATCCCTAATCTTTCATTTCAAACACCTCACACCCAGAACCCCTTTCGTGTCCTCTTCTACAGCATCCACCCATCTACTGCTTGGATTTCTTACTCCTCATAAAACTTGCCTGATATTCACCTATAATTCTCACTATGTTGATTTTTCTTTTAAAATTGCAGTCAATAAGTAATTTATAAGCTATGGGTAACAAGGATATCTATACGTCAATCTACCCCCCTTCTTATAATATAATATCTTCTTTCCCCACCTATGCTTTTAATAACTCAGCCGATGTATTATTAACACCTGGGTTTTTGTTTAGTACATGTTATCGGCTCCAGATCTTCGGGATCTTCCTCTTCCATTGCTGCTGTTACATTCATCAATAGCTGTTTGATATATGTTTACCAGGTATCTATAACTTCCGCCGCATTACTATTGATCATTTCGTTCTTGTCTTGAATAAAATTAGTTCTGGGTTTGAATCCCTCCTTCATATACTTGACTTGGTTAGAAGTTTGCCTTTTGTTATTCGCTTTGAAGTCACCCTTCATTTGTAGAATCCGTTGATTTAGGAAGGCCCTTTTCTTTTTCCTGCTCATTTTGCTAACTCTTCTTCTTGCTTTTTTTATATATCTCTTCTTTTATCCTCCACTGTTTCACTCTCAGTGGTTTCACATCCGTCCCATTTTCCCTGAGCAAGTTCTGAAACATTTTTGATTTATCTTCTTCCTTTAATGCCGCCACGTTGAATATGGTACATTTCTCATATTGTTTAGGTCTCTCAGAACCCACTCTGTATGTATTAGCTTCTCGTAGTGATGTCACATCTAAAATACCAGTAACAAGCGACTATCCACTAGGACATGTTCTAGTTGTTAAAATCCCGTCTGAGTGTTTTTTTTATGTGCCTATATCTTTGTGAGGGAAGCAGGTTGAACTAATAACCATACCCTTACTCATTGCAAAATCGATCAACCTCGTTCTGTTATAATTTGTTACCTCGTGTAGGGTATTCATCCCTATAATTCCTCTGAATTTTTTCTCCTTGCCGATTATCGCGCTTTGATCTCCCATTATCAACTTTGTATCGTTTATTGGTTGTTCTTTGATCTCTTCCTTTTTCTCGTTAGTTGCAGCAGGCACGTTGATCAGTGTCATGTTAAAGAAAGCTGTTTTAATTCTTAGCGCACACAATTTTTCATCTTTTGGATTGAAATCCAAGTTCACTTTCCTAAAATCATCCTTTAAAAGGAAGACCACTCCAAACTTATTTAATTCCTTCAGTTTTTCCACTGTACCAGATAATGTGAATTTTCAAGTCTATTGTTCCCTTCTCAAGCCATCTGGTTTCTTTCAATGCGACAATTTTAAGCATATAGCTTTGTAACTGTTGCAATGGAGATTTAGTTGCTCCTGGCTTGTTAAGCGTACTGATATTCCACGTTCCAAGAGTAGTCAATATTTCGTTGCCATGTTCGTCTTCTAGATTTATCCATCCATTTCCGAGGCCTGGGATTCGGTTGTCAAATAGATTTCTTTTTACAGTGAAAGGTCGTCATCCAAAGTCCCACCTAGAACCAGGATCTCTATTTATCACCCTAGGAACTAGTTGGCCCAGTTATACCCCCAGGCACCGGGTTCCCGTTTTAGTCGTCTCTTACATCTCGCATGGGTATGTTGGGACTATACTTCAACCTCCGTCACCACATGGAAAGTCTGTATATTGCTGATATATTTGCAGGTTAAACCACGCTCTCCATTCCCCCTCAATTCTGACCTCCCCTCGTATTTTCAGAATTAGATTAGCCTGATTATCGTTTTGTATAAACGCATTTTTGTATTTCGGTGAATGTCTTTTGATGGAAACATATGGTTCATGGTGGAGATTGATTTATTTCTCATGGTGACTCTTCTCCTTATTTCGGCTCCTTACCTCCATTTTGGTAATATTTATTCCCAGATATGTAAACTGCATTTATTATTTTATGGAGGAGCCTTTGAAGATCGTTTTGGTTCTCTGCTATAAGTAGTACATGGTTTGTATTACGTTTATCTCATCGTTCAAACTTATCGCAAATTTCACGTTTTGGAAAAAACATGTCGTTTTGCTCTTTATATGTACGTGGAATAAGATTTCTTTGTCATACTGACGTTCATAATATTAGATACAGAAATTCTGATTATTAGGAGGTCGTTTTCGTAATCTGCAGTCACTGTATAAATTACCCTAAGTGCATAACTTAATGTTTCAGATAGGTTTTAATACTTGGATCATCCATGTTTGGCACCGCACTCCTAGATTATCCAAGGATTTTTGAGATCTTGGGATATCAAATTTAGACGTCGTCCGACCAGTTAACGGCGATAACGACCTTTGTGCACTCCTACTGTCATAGTCCTAGTAGAGAATCGACTGTCTTGGAGTTTGGTACGAATCACTGTCATCCCTTGTCGATCTCCTTAAATATATCCAAGGATAAAGTAATACGTCACTCGTACATTTGTGTAAATTGCACCTAAACTTGACTTGTTTGACGAGGCACATAATCTGAAAGATCGGACTTTCTCGCAATTAGAGTTAGGCATTGTCAAGTTGATTTGTAGTCTGATCAATACAATCCATTCGGCTACCTTGCCTAGTACAAAAAGTATGCACCGTGGGAGATATGAGTTAGATGGGCGGTAAACCTCACCATCTTCATGGTTTTCCAAAATATGTCTTGTGATGATTAGTCAATGTCGTCGTTTCATCTTAACCTTCTAAATTCTATCAAAGAAAGCTTAACTTCAGCTGTATTATTCAGTGTGCTCCTGCAAAAATGGTTAGTTCAGAAAGTGCTGTTTGAAAAATTATAACAAACAGAATTGTCTTCATAAACTGCTAAAGACGTAATCAATATTATCTTCAGTTACTGAGCTGAAATGCAACTAAGAATTAAATCATAAACGTATAAATGATTAGTTTCTTTTGCTTGTTTTTGTCAAAATGTAGTAATCTTTTAATTCTTGTTCTAAATCAGATGTATACACTGTACAAGTTAGTATTACAGCTTTTGTGGCTATTAATGCACCACAAGATGGATTCATTTTTCCTGATGGTGATAAGTAAACCTTTAAGTCTTTGTTTCGTTCTGGTGTACGTTTTAACACAAATTTTAACAAGGATTAGAAGGTTGCAAAACATCAGCTAGTATAAAGTGGGTCATCTGTAAAGATATGATTGTTCATAAGCCAAATTCCAGAAGCATGGAGGGCAATTTCTGCAATTCCCACAGTGGACTCTTTGCCTTTGATATATTCTATCTCCTTTATATGAACGAAGGCACGTTTCTTGCGTGTTTTGTAAACGCTGTGTAGCATGATCTGGCAATTTAAATAATATGATTTCATATGCTGTAGCAAAATCACAAGATTGCAAATGTTTGCTGTGTGTTACGTAACCACGTTATGCATCAAGCAGTAAAAGTACTTATAAATAAATTTGAGTTTATATACCCCGTGTCTAAGTTAGTAATAATACCGAGAAATGGTACAGCAATTTTGCCCACATACCACGGTTGCAATTACTTTTTGACAACTCTTTTGTGCAGTGGTTAAAAAAATTCAGGCTCATACAGGTTTAATAAAAAGTCGGCTAATAATAAATCGCAAAATTGATAGACATTCTTTCAACACGAAGAGTGTTTAACAAAAGACTTGCTCTTAAGGTACCTTCATGTTTCCGGAGAGAAAGATAGATTTTTTTTCTTTACTGAGGCTATGTGGTGGACCATATTTTTCTGCACTATCAAAACCACAAGTACAACATATCTATCCCCTATATTTGTTGAGAATTTCTCACTTTTTATGCTGTCCGTTTTTCGATTGCTAGAGTCTTCACCTTCAGTGTAAGCTAGTGCCGGTTATAACTGGTTATTAAGCCAGTTATATTTCGTCTTCTGTTTTTGCCAATCTTTTTCATTCCCATTAATTCGGCAGCCGCTCTTATTATATTTAATTGTAATAAGTTGTATGCTGTATCCACATCATCTTAATTTCTTATTACATTTATGGCAAAACTTTAACAAGCCAAATGTCGTGTTGAGGATTTCACTCCCGCCCATACCATTTTCTAATTGACTTCGATTACAAACGCATGAAGGTTTGCAAAATGATGATTTTTGTCAAATTTGGTTTCTGAAATTGAAGTTGTCTGTGTGGAGTTGTCTGTATGCTGTCCAGCCTTTGTTGTTTCCGTGTTTCCTAGCCTTATCTTTCTAGGCATAAAGGATTCTCAACCATTTTGTTGCAAATCCATAGTTCCATCTATAAGCTTAGTATAATAGTATAGTAACTCAGTTTAAGTACTTCTGATTAGTTTTCAACCGTTTTTAGTATTGTTCAGGGACCTTGCAGATATTGATAAACTTGGTGGTCATCTTCGAGACAAACGAAACATGGAGGTTTTTCCTTACTCTGAAATGTATGGAGGTGTTCGTAGTGTCTAGATTTACAAGCCCAGATTTAGGCAAAATGTTGAGAATGAGACTCTTAGAATTCCATATTAACTCGTTTAACATGAGTTAATAGCTACGATACACTACGACTTGTGCCAGTAGCTAATTTGCGAGTTAGTTTTTTGAAATCGGTGCCAACCAAATTTTCTAAAAAGTGGAGAAAATTTTTGACAACAATGGCAACAACACCACCATCATCCTGAAATGATCTTATTTCGATGCATCTGTGGTAACGAAACTCAAAGAAGTTCTCCATCACTGTTTAGACATGATATTCATGTTGTGTTTCTTTAACCGTTAATGCATCCATACAAAAAGCAAAATTCATACCAGATAGTTATTTTATTTATATATTATTTATGGTATGCATTAGCTATTATTTTCAACATCCTGTTCGTACAATGCGAGAGAAGTGATCCCTTTCACCGTGTTACCAACTCCATCAATACCAAAGCTGTTTGCAATGAGTCATTGCACAAAATTGCCAATCCGCTTCAACCTCAAAAACTGTTATATTAGGCACATTATTCCAAGTTGCTTCTTGTATAATTTTAATTTATTCTAAAGTCGTTTAAAAGCTACTAAAAGTATACAGTTAAAAACCTTTAAAAGCTTTGTACTTAACTTAATATGTTGAAGATTACTTTATTCCATAGCTATGTATATTCGCAGTTATTTCAATTTAAATCTAATAAAGCGAATGAAATCCATTAAGAGTTATACATTACTTAGTTACCATTAAAATAAAATTTAATTATAGTTTACAGCTTTCAAATTAAGTCCTCCTCATTTTTATTAAAAAAAATCTTTTTATTAATCTATTATACCGACTGTTAAACGTCTTTTATTGCGATAATTACTCTCAATTGGTTAACAAAGTAAGCGAATTAACCTCTTGCCACTCTCTTGGTTCGCTCTCCTCCTTATTGGCGTGGAGACGATGGAGTTCTTTGCGGCAAAATTCCCTTCCGCGCGGATTTTATCTAGTTCGTTCAAGTCGTTCGTCTCACCGAGACTGCTCTCCTAACGGATTTACCACCGAGACCCGTTATCTTTACGTAGGCGGACCAGAAAAGCATAACAAACCACGACGGAGGTTTAAAGTTCAAAAAAATCGTTAAAGAAAAAAAAATTGTAACAATTTCCAGACTCCTTTCGTTCGACAAAACACACCGCATCCACGCGAACTTAAAGCGAAAGCACAACGTTTACTTGCTAAAGGACAGAGTTCGTTGGAAGACGCCGATCTTCATTCGACGGAAGAATCTTCCGGGCCGCCAATCGTTGAAGCCATCAATCAACAAGTTGAAGACAATCGAAGGAAGTTTGATGATGATGATGGACTTCAAGAGAATCGAGTAGAAAATCAGTTAGTGAATCGAATTGAAAATCAAATTGAAAACCGGTTGGAAATTAGACAAGAAATTATAGGAAACGGAAATAACGAAGGTGCATCTAGTAGTGCAGAAGAAGACGATTCCGAAGAGGTAAGTGTTTAAATAATTATTCTTCTTTAATTAATGATATTAAATTGTAACAATTTGAAAAAAAATTAATTGTAAAAATGAAAAAAAAAAATGTTTTGGAAAATTGGCGAAAGACTTGAATAATAATGTTCAGGAGCTTGTGACGAAAAGGGTGGGGTTCAGGGGGGCGGCGGCGGTGGCAGAACAAGCCCCCGATGGGGGCGAATCGGCGAGACCAAGCCGTCTTCACCGAAGAGATACGCCACATCATCTTAAGAACAAGAGAGTTAACGCAGCCGTCGTCGACAAAGAGAAGGTCGCTTCGATCATCGCGCAGGTTGATTTTCAATTTGGTTCTATATTTTTTATTTTATTTTTTTTATTTTGGGACGAATTATTATTTATTTTGCATGGCTCCAAAGCTTTGATTTTCGTTTATTGAAAGAATTTTTAGTCTTGGATATGTGGTGATTGCATTCAACATAAACTATTTTTATTTATTTAGTTTTAACTTGTCACTATTTTAAAATAGTTCTAAAAATATTTTATAAAATGTTACAGTCCAATTGATTTCCACTCCAACAAGTTCAACAAATTTCGAGATAAAAATGATTCATGTAAAATTTTAATTGGAGCATTTTTTAACGTTATTTTTGCATTCATTCGGAAACATTCTTTATGCAACTCTATGTATAGGGTGATTAGTTAGGTATTCAACATAAATTAGACATTTCCGACAAAAATTGTGGTTTGAAAAATCGTCTATTAATTATTATAAAGTAAAATACGAAATTATTACGAATTTGACGTATTTGATCATAAAAATTGGTTCTAAGTAGCAAATTAGAAACGATAGACGAAAATGTTTTAAATAAAAATTGTTCTTATTAAACTCGAAAACCGTTATCTATAAAGGATTTAAATCTATCGCTCATGGTTACCAACTTATATTGCTTATATGTAAAAATTCCCAAAATTTGAACGTTTTCGACATCAATATAGGAGATGAATCAAAAACTAAAAGAAATTTTTGCTTAAAAAAATATTCTAAGGGGTCCCAAAAAACTTAATCGATAAACGATTTTAACTTATCATCCATAATTACCAACTTATAAGACAAAAAATTGAGTTATCACAAATATGACGTTTTTGCTAATTAAGATGGGGTTTAAGTAGTAAATTAAAAACGATGGACGAAAATGTTTCAAATAAAAATTGTTCTTATTAAACTCGAAAACCATTATCTATAAAGAATTTAAATCCATCGCTCATAGTTACCAACTTATATTGCTTATATGCAAAAATCCCCTAAATTGGGCATTTTCGACATCAATATAGGAGATGAATCAAAAACTAAAAGAAATGTTTGCTTAGAAAAATATTCTAAGGGGTCCCAAAACACTTAATCGATAAACGATTTTAACTTGTCATCCATAATTACCAACTTATAAGACAAAAAATTGAGTTATCACAAATATGACGTTTTTGCTAATCAAGATGTGGTTTAAGTAGTAAATTAAAAGCGATGGACGAAAATGTTTCAAATAAAAATTGTTCTTATTAAACTCGAAAACCATTATCTATAAAGGATTTATATCCATCGCTCATGGTTACCAACTTATATTGCTTACATTGTCTAATACCCCAAAATTAGACGTTTTTGACATCAATATAGGAGATGAATCAAAAACTAAAAGGAATGTTGGCTTAAAAAAATATTCTAAGGGGTCTCAAAAAACTTAATCGATTAACGATTTTAACTTATCATCCATAATTACCAACTTATAAGACAAAAAATAGAGTTGTCACAAATATGACGTTTTTGCTAAATAAGATGGGGTTTAAGTAGTAAATTAAAAACGATAGACGAATATGTTTCATATAAAAATTGTTCTCATTTAACTCGAAAACCATTATCTATAAAGGATTTAAATCTATCGCTCATAGTTACCAACTTATATTGCTTACATTCCAAAATTCCCCAAAATTAGACGTTTTTGACATCAATATAGGAGATGAATCAAAAACTAAAAGGAATGAAAAGAAATGTTTGGTTAAAAAAATATTCTAAAGGGTCCCAAAAAACTTAATCGATAAACGATTTTAACTTATCATCCATAATTACCAACTTATAAGACAAAAAATAGAGTTGTCACAAATATGACGTTTTTGCTAAATAAGATGGGGTTTAAGTAGTAAATTAAAAACGATAGACGAATATGTTTCATATAAAAATTGTTCTCATTTAACTCGAAAACCATTATCTATAAAGGATTTAAATCTATCGCTCATAGTTACCAACTTATATTGCTTACATTCCAAAATTCCCCAAAATTAGACGTTTTTGACATCAATATAGGAGATGAATCAAAAACTAAAAGGAATGAAAAGGAATGTTGGCTTAAAAAAATATTCTAAGGGGTCTCAAAAAACTTAATCGATTAACGATTTTAACTTATCATCTATAATTACCAACTTATAAGACAAAAAATTGAGTTGTCACAAATATGACGTTTTTGCTAAACAAGATGCGGTTTAAGTAGTAAATTAAAAACGATAGACGAATATGTTTCATATAAAAATTGTTCTTATTCAACTCGAAAATCATTATCCATAAAGGATTTTAACCCATAGTTACCAACTAATATTGCTTACATTCGAAAATTCCTCAAACGTTTTCGACGTCAATATAGGCGATGAATCAAAAACTAAAAGGAATGAAAAGAAATATTTGGATAAGAATATATTCTAAGGGATCCCAAAACACTTAATTGATAAACGATATTAATCCATCGTCCAAAATTACCAACTTTATAAGACAACAAGTCAAGTTGTCATATATTTCACGTTTTTGCTAATCAAGATTGGTTTTAAGTAGGAAATTAGAAACGATGTACGAACATGTTTCAAATAGAATTTATTCTTATTAAATCCAAAAATCATTATCCATAAAGGATTTTAACCCATCGCTCATAGTTACCAACTTATATTGCTTACAGTCGAAAATTCCCTGAATTAGACGTTTTAGACATCAAAATAGTTGATAATCAAAGACTAAAAGGAATGAAAAGAAATGTGTCGGTAAAAAGTTATTCTAAACGAACTCTATAAACTTAATCGATAAATTATTTTAATCCGTCGTCTATAATTACCACCGTATTAGGCAAAAAATCTGATTATGGCAGAATTGACGTATTAGATGATGAAGATTGATTATAAGTGGTTAATTAAAACTGATAGACGGAAACGTTTCAAACAAAAAATGTTTCTGTTAAATGCAAAAAGCATTATCCATGAATGATTTTAAACTATTGCTGCTAATTTTCCTTAAATTAATTATTTTGTACTTATTTTCGATTATTATAAAAAGTTATGTTTCGTTTGAAAATATTTCGAATGAATTCAAAAAACCTAATTGGTGAACTTATATAATCAATTAACTTATAATTGTCAACTTATAAGATTGAATTTCAAAATTTCCCATTCAATATCTAACTTTGAGTCTAACTAAAGTCCAACTAAATCGCTTTTAGTTGATTGAGTTAAAGTTTTGTTAATGTTGAGTGCGAAAGCGAGCTTTAATGGATTGTTTAATATTCTCTTATAGTCGTTCCGACATAATTAAATTAATGGATGGCGTTTTAATTCTTTCAATCGTTCAGTAATGATAAAATTTTGTATAAAACTTTTTTATGTAAAAATCTTTTGTGTGGCATCCAATTTGTTAAAAATGCAAGATTTCAAATTAAAATAAAATTCCTCCTGATAAAAACTTTATTAAAAACCAACATTTCTTCACCTACTTTTAATATATTAATGTCACGCCTTTTCGTTTCGCCCTTTTTCATTTCTCCATCATTGCAATATACTTAATTAAATTCCCCAACCGATTTTTTTTCTCTCTAATTCGCCTTTTTTATTCTCTATTGAACACACAACGCCGTAAAGGTTAATTAGTTTAATAATTTTTTCTACTTGACTTAATTTAAAAATAGTTTATGTATAGTAGTAGTGCAATCACCCATAAGGTCATCGCTCTCACGTTTTACCTACACCGTACCTTATACTTAAAGCCCGGGGTACTTTCACTCCGGCGCGTAAGACTTCTTTAACACATAACAGTGAGGTCTTGAGACTCTTTCGCGATTGCGCTGACCTTTACGAAGGTGTAACATACCGCAACATACCGTCACCGTTTATATTTAGCGACAAAACTCGTTGTTTTCGTTACTTTTTTTATAGCCAATTTCAATGACATCACTTTAACATAACATCACTTTCGTGTTTCCATCAACTCCGGTACGAGTTAAAACATTTTCAACGATTGTCACATTATCGTGAACACTCGTCGTGACTTGGCTTTTGTGCTTTAACTTTCAACATCGGTTTTGTTTTGTTAAATGAAACAGATGATGTCGTTTTGAACTTTTAATTGTTGTACTTTTTTTTTGGTTGTTATTGGTTATTTGATTTGGATTTGTTCCGAAAGTTTTATGTTGATTTTAAACTTAAAATGCTGTTGTTTATGTTGTGTTTTGCATTTTGTGTATAAATGAAGTTAAAAAGGCTTTAAAGCTTTTCTGTGCTTACGAGCGCTTGGAATACGTGGGATTTTTTTGGTTCGTTTTCCCGTAGGCGCTTAAGAAAAAGGAGGATGATATCGACAGAATGAGTACCTCAACACCACCCGAATCTGTTGATGAAAGAAGCACCAGTAGTCAAGGTAAGAATAATTTAATTTATTTTTTTATTATTTTTGCTGATATAAATAGGAGATCAAATTTCCTTTAATTTGATTCCAAACTCGATATATTTTTAATAAAAAATTTAAAAGATACAGCTAAAAAAGTCATGGTAATAATCTGTCATCTTTGATAATAATTAAAGTAAAAGAACGCATATCTCTGTAAATAAACCACATACGAATATCGAAGTTGGACCGTTTTTAGAGGAAATTCACTTTTGTAGCGTTTAAAATCAATTTTACTCTTATTCGTGTCTTTATTACTTTTCATTATCATTTTCTACAAAACCTGAAAACAGAAATATTATTAGTTTTTTGTCCTCAAATCAATTGGAGTTATCCAATAACTTGTTAAAGTTATTTTTCTTTTCACTTCTAACATGATACATTTTGATTTAAAATTATTACCTAATTACAAATTATTATTACCTTTTTGAGCCATTATTCATTATTATGGCTGGTAGTAATTGATAGGATCTCAAATTTCCTTTAATTTGATTCCAAACTCGATATATTTTTAATAAAAAATGAAAGATCCAGCTAAAAAAGTGATGGTAATAATCCGCCATCATTGATAATAATTAATTCAAAACAACGCATATCTCCATAGAGAAACAGCATAAAAATATCGAGTTAGAACCGTTTTTGGAGAAAATTCATTTTTACAGCGTTTAAAATCAATTTTACTCTTATTCGAGTCTTTATTACCTTTTATTATCATTTTCTACAAAATCACAAAACTCAAATATTAGGTAGTTTGACTTGTTAAAATTATTTGGATATCAAGTTATTTTTCTTTTCATATCCAACATGACACATTTTGAATAAAAATTATTATTACCTTTTTGAGCCATTATTTATTATTATTGCTGATAATAATTGATAGGATATCAATTTTCTTTTAATTTGATTCCAACCTCGATATATTTTTAATAAAAAACGAAGGAGATTCAGCTAAAAAGTGATGGTAATAATTCGCCATCTTTGATAATATCATCATCCCATCAGCGACAAATTCGCTTCAGTTGCATCCTGTTCATGCTGAAGTCAAAAAGACTCAATATTTTCCTATAGATTTTGGGTTACCTTCAGTATCACTTACATTTAAATACTCTCAATGGCTCAGAATGGCTCCCAATGGCTTTCACTAACTCCAAATAACCTGTAATGATTAGCAGTAGGTTCCAATTGCTTCAAAAATTGTCCGTATTCACTGCATCCAATTCGCGCATAAAGCGCTTGGTTTTCTGATCATCTTAATGACTCCGAATGGCTGCTAATAAACATCTATAAAACCCAAAGACTCTGATTGACACCAAATACTTCCTAATTGCTGTTAACGCCGTTTATATTAAATAACTCATCGATGTTCTTAACATTTTTCTGGAGATTTTATATTTCCCGTAGTATCACTTTTAAAGACTCTCAATAGATCAGAATGGCACCCAATGGCTTTCAGTACAACACGATATGTGTCATTAACTCCAAGTAATTTCTAATAGTTAGCAGGGGGCTAAAAAACCTTTTGTTTTTACTTCCTCTAATTTCTTTTAAAACGCTTACTTGTCAAAATCATTTTAATACTCCGAATGGCCTCTCATTCACACCAAATACTTCCTAATTGCTCTTATTACCATTCTTATTATTAAATTCATCGATACTCTCAATGTTTTCGTGGAGATTTCGGGTTACCCTTAATATTATGCTCTTTTAATGCTTTCATACGCTCAACATGGCTCCCAATGGCTTTGAGCAATTCGCAATGTCTTTTATTAAGTTCTTTTATTAACTCGAAATAGGCTGTACTAGTTAGCAGTGTTTAGCTCTTTCGTTTTTACTAGCTCCAATTTGCTGGTACAACATTTCGTTTTCAAATCATCTTAATGACCCCGAATGGCTATTAATAATCTCTCGATGGTTCAGAATGACTCCCAATGGCTCTCGGCACAACACGATGTCTTTTATTGACTCCAAATAGTTTTTAATAAGTAGGAATGAGTTCCAATTGCTCCAAGACCTTTCAAATGATCCCAATGTCTTTGAATAGCTCATAATAATAATAATACTCACAATAATTATTAATAATTGGATAACATAATAATAATATTATTATTAATTTTAATGAGGGCCAAATTCTCTGATCACTGCAACATGTCCTTGTGGTGTAAATTGAGCAGTGTACATCGTGAGACGCCGGTCAGATGTAGGCCAATTACGAGTCATTGAAAGATGTTTTATAACTCTGTATATGATATAAATTGGAATTTCATATCGCATGATGATTTGACTGCCAATCAAAAGTTTGATATATTTCATGAACTCATCCTTCATAGCGCATTTCCGAAAAAAAATAATTGTGCAAAATAATAAGAAATGCACAAGCTGGCTTTCTGTAGATCTCAAGGGCACGAGGAATCGCCTGCATTTCTTAAGAGATATCCAAATGCCACAGGCTGAAACTAAAGAAGAGAAACTAAAGCGAGAACTTAACTTTCGGCCAAAAACTTAACTTTCCCCTAGATCTTGGTAGAGAGCTAGAGCTGCTATCGAATATCACTGTACCACCTGGAATATTCTGCCTGGAGCTGGTCGGTTTGAGGTTCGTGATACAATCTGTTCTTTAAAAAATACTTCTTCTAGGATTTATACAGATTAAATGCTGTAATATTAAAGCTGATAAAAGATGTAGTATCATCGCTTTTAACAAAATTAATCAACCAATGCATGAAAGAAAATACTTTTCCAAATGCTTTAAAGTTAGCTTTGGTAACTTCTGTTTGTAAGAAAGGTGATCCTCATTCACACACTCATCAGTCCAGCCTGTATTTTAAAAAATTTTTGAAAAAATCATGAATAGAATTGTCGATTTTTTGAAAATAATAACTTGTTCGCGTCATATCAATACGGATTTCGTCAGAATCGTAGTACGAGAGACGCAATTATGGATTTCCTACAACAACCAATAGACTGTTAAGAGAGAGGCGAGTATAACGCCTAACAATAATTTATTAATAAAGAAACTGAGTAGATATAGCTTTGGTGACAGCAGTATTAAGATAATTCACTCGTACCTTGCTGGCAGAAAACAATAAATAGTCTGTTGTAATGATAGCTATTCTACATCAGAGTGCATTTATATTGGAGTTCCACAAGGGTCAGTGTTTGAGCCCCTGCTTTTCCTCATTTACATAAATGACTTACCTGCTTCCACATCTAATCATATTCTACGCTGACGACACTACTTTAATCAGCAGACATAAAATCCCCATTGATGCTGTTGCAGTGAGTCGTCTCTGAGGCTGAGGAGTGGTTTGCCTGCAAATCTGAATTCCAACAAAACAGCTGAAACTGTCTTTACACTGAGATGGGTGAGCAATTCATAGATTTTTTGGGTGTTCGCTTGGACTCCGCATTGAAATGGGAGTAGCATGTTAGTATACTTTGCGGAAAGCTGAGCAGCAACATTTTTGTGTTGCGCGTTTTAGGCTCTGTTGGCCTGGGGAAACTGCTTGGGTTGGTCTAGAGTTTTTCGGCTGCAGCGACGTCCCGTGCGTGTCATATGTGGTCTGAAGTATCGAGACGAGTGCCATGAATTCTTTATAGATCAGAAAATAACAACACATAACAATGTAAATAAATATACTACCCACACAGATATACACAGCTACAGAACCTAAGTCACCCAAGGTCACAGAAAGGTGTAGATTTTACTGCGCTCAAGTTTTACAATAACCTGCGAACAAGTTTGCAACATTGATAAAGCAATTTCTGCTGTTGAGAGTATCCTAGTCGGAGTTCCTTGAATATGTATTTTTTGAAAGGGATTTTATGGCATTGGGCGTTTTCGTTACAGCATCATAGAATGATGATCTACATGTGATTGTACTATGTATTGTGTGCTTTGTTCTTTTTTCTTTTCTTTGTAAGTTTTTTCTAAATGACGAGTGTAAAAAATGTGTATTTTAGACGCACAAGTAAATATTATTATTATGGTTTTGAAGACAAACTTTCTTGCTGCTGCATTAACGATCCAATAAATGTGAAATATGACATAGTTTGTGACAAAGCTTTCGGTCAGTTTTTGCTTTTGCTACTTCCTTCGAACATCATCAGGCTGTCCACTCACATGAATCGTCGTCGTTTTGAAGTTTGATTGTAGCTAACTAATTGTAATAATAATCTCTAGTATATATGTTTCTTGTATCGTAGTCGTGCCCGTAGGTGCCTTCAGGAAGGGCGAAACACGTGTTGCACTGATATTTAGTAAAAATAAAGATCATTGTTTAGGCCAAATTAGCCTTTTATTTTGAATAAACTAATTGTAAGACTTGAGTGAAACAGGCTTACCAAACATTCTTATTGACGTTCCTGTTCAATTTCCATTCTTTACACTGAGAGGCGTTCAGCCAGATCTGATGGGTGAGCAATTCAATGATTTTTTGGGTGTTCGCTTGGACTCTTCATTGAAATGGGAGCAGCATGTTAGTATAGTTTGCGGAAAGCTGAGTAGCAACATTGTGTTGCGCTTTTTAAGTTTTGTTGGCCTGAGGAAACTGCTTGGGTTGATCTAAAGTTTTTCGGCTGCTGCGACGTCCCATTCGTGTCATATGTGGTCTGAAGTATCGAGACGAGTGCCGTGAATTCTTTATAGATCAAAAAATACTAACATTTCCCTCGCTATTTATATTAGAGTGTCTGCTACTTGCACAACAATGAAAATAAATATACTGCCCACAGAGATATACACAGCTACAAAAGATGTATCATCGCTTTTAACAAAATTAATCAACCAATGCATGAGAGAAAATAGTTTTCCAAATGCTTTAAAGGTAGCTTTTAAAGGTAGCAGCTACAGAACCTAAGTCATCCAAGGTCACAGAAAGGTGTAGATTTTACAGCACTCAAGTTTTACAATAACCTGCGAGCAAGTTTGCAACATTGATAAAGCAATTTCTGCTGTTGAGAGAATGTTCAATTCA